CTCTTTCCCAACAGTAACTTCAACTTCATTAACATGTTCTCTTTCTTATAATTATGATAAAAATTAGTAAGTAATTTAATCAAAATTATAGACATAGATACATACTTATATAACTATTAAAGTAAGCCTTGCATTGGATAACCATTTTATAACCACTCATCTCTATAATTATATCTCGACCATCATCTCCAGAACCACTAAATTGACAATATTATATAAGCTTTGTTTCATAGAAGTATAAAACTAAAAAAATAGCACGTATTCTCTTCACCAGGCTAATCACCGAGAAAGACGCCGGTGAAGTCAAACAACCAAGAAGAACGTTCTATGCCGAAACATAGGCCACGACGAGCTTTCAATTCTGGGATATTTTACGATGACCTGGCAGCGTAACTTCAAATACGTAACAACTCAACAAAGCTAGTGAGAAAATACTCACCCTGTCCACTTAATTCTAGCGCCCTAAGATAAGAATTCATTTTTCAACAAATCAACACAAATCTTTTTTCTAAAGATTTATTTGACTCTCCATTAAATTTATTAAAGACTAGCCTTGTTTTCATTTTTAAAAAAAATATAGTTTAGAAGAACCTCTCAAACTCACCTATATTTAATATGTTAATTTTTATTCATATACGAAAAAGAAAGAAGTTGATGTGTGAAAAAAATTTTCAGTTATGATTGAGATCTACACTGCGTTACGTAAAATTAAAGTTATTGCATTCGAAGCCAAATATGGATGTCAATCGAATTTACTATTATCGTTATGAAGCAAGAATATATATTTATTAGTTACGATTGAAAATAATAAGCTCATTCATACTAAATCATACCATAGCAAATTTATTTGTTTAACAAATATTTGTAAAAAGGGAATAAATAATCAAATTTATATTGCTATCACTGGTGTTATTAAATTTTAATAAATAGAGGGCTAAACAAAGAATTAGGTTGGTGTGGCCTAGCTAAATGAAATTTTAAATGGCAACGATAAAGGCATCTATAATTTAAATGACAATAGCACATAGTTCACTATTTGAAAGCGAACAAATTATCAAATAAAGTCGTTATGGGTATATTATTTTTCCAGCAATTACGAAATTAATTCAATTTCAGTTCAGAAATGTTTTCCAGATTTTCAAAGATCGAAATCAAAAGATTCAATAAATTTGAATTCTTTAAATTTATAAAATTCAAATAAAAAAAAAACCAGTTACAGTGGTTGTGGAAATATCTTCACTCAAATTTTAAAAAAATTGGCGTAGCTTTTATTTTGATAGTGATTTTTCTCTAACTTTGAATGAAGTTATCTCCACAACCGCCCAACCCACCTAACCAAACTTGATAAATTTTTTTATTTGAATTCTAAGATTCATAGAATTCAAATAAAAAAAAAATTTGACGAATTTGGTCCGGTGGTTGCTAAGATATTTTGATTTATTTGAAAATTTCTGTTTTTCTCTTCTTGATAATATCGGTCCGATTGATTGCTATTATGTCTGAATTTGGTATACAAAACTGATATAAGTTATATCAAAATGAAATTAACAAAATTAACAGACTATTATTATTTAGAAATTATCAAAAACTTTGAATATAATCACCACTCATTAGTTAATCGCTTATTTGTCGCTTTACGTGCCTCTGTTGTGGGCTAACACTTTCAATCATATAAATGAAGGTCTGATCTATTTTTCTTATTTATCTTGATGAAAATGAAAAACAACAATTGACTTCAAGCGCATATCAGGTCGATCTATCATGTATTTTTCAAAAAACTTTATTTAAATATATGCTGACTTTCTAGAAACTTTTTCTAACTACAAGATAAAAAATGTCTTCTCATGAAGCAAATGATGAGGAATTTGTTCGACAACTTGAAAATCTTGAAGCAATCAACTTCCCTATAAGAAAAGTGGTACAGGTTGTGATACGGGTTAGTTTCAGGAATGTACGGAGTGGCACAGATTGTGTGGCACGCATAGGCACGTTTTACGGAATGGCACAGTAAAAATGGCACGGACATTTCGGCAAGGGGTGGCACGTTATATCACGTCATACGTAACAACACGTTCAGATGACACGTATGTGTACATTGCACACGGGTTGGCTCATGATACGTGTTGGCTCGTTTCTCAGAGAGCGAAAGATCAATAAATGATTTTTTTTTTAAAAAAAGTGCAATATCTTATAATTTCACTGATAAAGCTGCTCTGAGTATCTTAACAAAAAAGATTCCTTACAAAATTTTACTTCACATGCAGTTAGTTTGTTCGTATTATATTGATTACTAATATAAATTTTATGTTTTAACATGTTTGTTATTTGTTATTGTGGTGGCACGTGAATTTACGTTTCATTACCCGTGCCAAATCCCGTGCCGATTCGACTAGTAAACTGTTGCAAAACCCGTGCCATTTATGGTCCAATTGGCACGGGCATACGGTCCCACACGGACCATCGAATCCGTACTAACTCAGACTATACCCGTACAAATCCGGATCTTGACCCATGCCACAAAGGCCCGTGCCTATCCGAAACCAACCCGTACCGATCTGAACCATTTTTCTTATAGGGCTTAAATTATGCAACAGAATCTTTCGAGACATCATTTAACTGGGATAAAATAGCTACTGGCATAAAAAATGTCGAAGGAGAGTGGTATCTTGTTGCTTTTCGATCTATCGGAAGTAAAGATGCTAACAATGAAAAACTGATTGAAGCTGAAGCCAAAGCCTATAATGAAGCAAAAAATCATGGAGGTTTGCTCAAGGTAAATATTTCTATAACTCAGTTTGTCTTTTATATACTCATTAATATTGTTTGTATCATTTCTTTTATAATTTTAAAAGCATTGGTCCGGTAAATTCAATCAAAATCGAGAATGTCTTTCGATATGCATTTGGAGAAGTATAGATGAAGCAATTGAAGCAAGTAAAAAACTTTGTCATTCTTTTGCAACGAGATTGGCCAGCTCGAATTATGTAATATACAAATTAGAGAAGTACAAGCTGAAAAAGATGAAGGGTGAGATAAAGATTAACATTACTGAACTTAAAGACAATCACAAATCACATGACTTGTAACATACACTTTATTATTTTTTTTACATTTTCATTAATTAATATTTCTTATTTTCTGTATTTTCACAATATTTAAATTTTAAAGTTTTTATAATATCTATAAAATCTTTTTTTTTTTGTACCTTTCAAGGCAAGACTTATATAAGAAAATTTTCAAAATTAATATGTAATTTACAGAGGAGATACAATTTGAAGTTTAAAAATCTTATATCAAATTTCAAATTGTATCTCCTCAATAATTTGCATATTAATTTCATAAAATTTTACTCAATTGCTCAAAAGACCCTATATTTTAGGCTAAAGAGCGCTTTTTTTAAAAAAATATTAATTTGTAATCGAAATATAAATCATTATTTTCATTATGCTTTTTTAATAATCAATTTTAATTCACTACAAGCATAAAAGAACGTCATGCTGCAATCATCTCATCCCTGATTCTCAACTCTTTTCCTAAACCTAATGCTTCTGCTAATATAATCGTGACCTAATTGTTTCACCTTTCCAAGCATTTTCATACTTGTTATGTCCATGAAGATATTTTGCAACACCTATAGCTTGTTCTATTTCTTGTTTTACACTATTTTTGTACATATAACAAAGCGCCATATAATATCACTTGGTTTTTTAGATACATAATGTTGTTCGGTAACAAAACTATAAAAGGCTTCTTCATAATTTTTTTTTTATTATAATCATTAATTGCATTATTAAGTCTATTTTCGTTCAAACTGATCCCCAGAATCCATCTTGAAGTTTGACTGCAAACGACTTCAATTGTACCTATTTATATGTTTGAATTCTAGTTTTTTTTTTGTTGTTATCTTAATTCTAATATTTTTAGATATTTTGAAAATTTAATAAATTTATTTTTTTAAAAAAAAATTACTGATAGTTTTATTTTTGGGCATCATTTGCCAATTGTAATTAGAGATATGAATCGTAACTATTAATTTTTCACTTTGGATACATATTTATCTTATATATCAAACATGCTCATGTAGAAGTGTATTATCGTATCTTTTTTTAATTGCTCAACTAAAATTATTTTCAGTAAATTGAACTGCATTAAGTTTATTTATATTCAATGTTAATAACTTGTGATATAAAGTTCACTTATTTTTATTTTAATTCGTACTAGCAAATCAATTATAAAGCTCTAATATCACATGACTTCACCGACCCATGGGTCTGTTGAGTCACATGTTTATAAATCTAACATTCTCGGGAGTCTTATGATTGTTATCATTTAAGAGATCTTTGAGAAATCGATCATATTTAGTATTTTCAGTTCTCATTAAATATCCTGAAGTGAGACCAGATTCAACAAGGATATTTGCTGGGCAACGAGTTATATGAAACAATTTAATCAGCCTCTAGGTGCCAATCCAGTACCTTAATTCTTGCCTTACTTCTATCGATTTCATTTTATCGCACATATGCTTGCGTAAAGTTTTATGACTAGGAGATATTTTCATTGAATTTTTGTATTCATCTACCATTAGCGATAAATAAGGTTCTCGGAGTTTGTATAGCAATTTCAACAAATTCAATTCAACTTTATTGATAAATGATGTATTATGTCGAAAACCAAATGAAAAGAAATTTGTCTAGGTAATTAATTTATTGGGCAACTGATTTCCTCTTTGCGTATATTTTCTTTGTTTTCGAGAATGCTGATGATTACATAACCAAATACAGCCATCTCGACTTCACCGTTACATGCTATTTCGATGACAAATAAATGGAATAGGATCAATTTCATGTATTATAAAAAATAATATTTAAAATAATTTAAGGATTGCCTTAATAAACGATTAAACATAATTATATTAATATATATATAAACTTTTCGTCAAAAAATACCAATTGAATCAATATTATATTTTCTATTCTTGTATTCTTTTTATTATTTTTTTCAGTATTTTTGCTGATTAAAATTCAATTCAATATTTTTTTCTTACAATTAAGTCAATTAGTTCTAAAATTGAAAATAGACAGGGCTTGTAAATTTTCGAATCATATCTCTACTTGGATAAACAAGTATTATTAAAATAATACCATACGGTATTATCAAGGTCCTTATTTGTATACAATACCGGGATGTTTCTATCATCATCCGTTAAAAAACTTTTAGCAAGTTATAGATTATTTTCATCATCCGGCAAAAAACTTTTAGCAAGGATATAGAATTATTTTCATTAAAAGAGCTAAAAAAAAAAGTATAAATAAGATGAAATAGTTCACTTTTCTAAAAAAAAAAAAAAAAAAAAAAAAAAAGATTATCACCTCTGAATTAAGTGTAAAAATTCAAATTTACCTGAACCTAGCGCTATAGTCTCAATGATAATATCATGCTTAAGGATAAGAGAAGTCAAGCGCTTTTGTATTTTAAGCAACATGAATATAGAGAAGTATTAAATTGTTATAAAGAAATTCTCACAAACAGCTCGCATAATCAAGAAGATATACAACATGCTTCAAGCTGGGATCTTACTAACAAGGGAATAAAATCTAAAAAACTAAAAGAATTAATTAAGGCACTTGATATGAATATCTTACTGACTTTTTTGGATCTTAAAAGTAATAAACTTGGATCAGAAGGTGGAAAATTATTAGCAGGTGCACTTTGTAGAAACAATACTCTGAAATATTTGAATCTTCAATATAATCAACTTGGATCAGATGGAGGAAAAGCAATAGCAGATGCACTTTGCAAGAACACTACATTAACTTCATTGAATCTTGAAAATAATATTCTTGGATCAGATGGAGGAAAAGCATTAGCAGATGCACTTCGCAAAAACACTACGCTGACTTCTCTGATTCTCCTTAATAATAATCTTGAATCAGACAGAGGAATAGCATTAGCAAATGCACTTTGCAAGAACACGACATTGACTATTTTGGATCTTGATGATAATAAACTTGGATCAGAATGTGGAAGTGTATTAGCAAATGCACTTTGTAAGAACACCACGCTGGAAAAATTGCATCTTAATAGGAATTTTCTCGGAACAGAGGGAGGAAAAGCGTTAGCAAAGGCACTTTGCAAGAACAACACGCTGAAAGAATTGCATCTTGATAATAATCATCTTGGAGCAGAGGGAGGAAAAACGTTAGCAGATGCACTTTGCAAGAACACCGCGATAAAAGAATTGCATCTTGATTGTAATCATCTTGGAACAGAAGGAGGAAAGGCATTAGCAGATGCACTTCTCAAGAATACCACGCTGGAAAAGTTGTATCTTCATAGTAATTGTATTGAAGGAGGAAATGTATTAGAAAATGCACTTCACAAGAACACCACATTAACTTATATTGATCTAAGAAATAATAATATAGCCTTTATAAGATCAAAGAATTCAAAAATAGAAATTTTACAATAAAAGCAAAATATTAATTTTGCCTGAATTTATATTTTAATTTTATATAATTTTACTCTGAATTCTGTTTGAAGTAGGGCCATATAAAATTTTTATATTGGTTTTCACTAAAAAATTTTTATTTATAATTTAAATCTGTGCAGGTATTTTATATAATAAAATTTTATAAAATTTAAAATTTTATAATTGAAATTTTACTGTATGACCGGCAGGTATTCTTTCATTGTAAAATTATAAAATTTAAATTTTGTTTGGCCTAACTATCTACTTTAAAAAGTATTGTAAAATTTTATTCATTTAATTACAGACTCCTCAACAATGTTGTTAAATAAATTAATTAAAATAAATTTTTAATAAATGGGAATTTTGATATTATTTCAACAAACCAAATACCAGTTTTAATGTACTACTAGAGGCAGTACTGCAGAATAAAAATATAATGGGGAATCTTGAGAATTTTTTATTTTAGACATGTTATTTTAGATTTTTTATGAAAATTTGCCGATTTGCGATCATCTACTGACGTAATTTGAAAAGCGCAGTAAATACTTAAAATAGGTTGCGATAGCAGTAAATTAAATAATGAATACATGAAGAATGGAAATCTAATTATAGTGATGTGCCTATAATGACACAACTATATGTTTCTTCTTTATTTACAATAAAATAGGCACGTCATGAGGCAAAAGTACCTGGCATGCCCAGCATGAGTATTTGCAGAGCCCGCGATGATTATGAAAATATCACTGGTTGCCTGTTCTTGATTCAGCAGACTAGTTTTACATTGGAATAGAACCATTTTATAATTTCAATAAAATTAATTCAACATTAGTTAAAGTTATCACCTATTTCAGCTTAAACTAGTTAAATTTTAATTTCTGTTTTTATTTAAAAAAGGGAAATTTGACGAACTTTTAAATTCTGGATTACTGATTTTCTTTTTTGTACTATTATAAAATTTATCATCAATGCAAATAATTATTAACAATAAAGTTAAATACATCTACATGCAAATAGAATTTGCAGCTCGAATTTTACACGCTGTTTCGATTATCTGGAATGCATATGGATAATTTGATGGACAATTAAATGGGATAGGATCAATTTCGTGTATAGTTCTGGTTGTGTAAATGACTTTAAAATTAAATCGAAATTAGTTTCATCAAATGAGACTCAAATTTATTTTATATGAGAACTCACTTGGTAGAATAAACCACGGAATTAATAAGATCATAAAAATAGTTCTAGAAGTGTTTCAAATCAAGTATTAGTATATATCGCTAAGAAATTTAAATACATTCAGCAAAGTAGTAAAATACCTAAAGTTTTTTACTTTTTTTACTTCATAACAGTAATAACAAAATACCGAAAGCAAACTAATTACTAAAAATTAAATTTTGTAAATTTTGTGCAAAAATATTTTTAATAAAATTTGTAAACCAATTTACCAACTGTGAATAAAGTAAGTGCAATGTATCTAAAAAATTATAAATAAAAAGTAAATAAGTAAATAAGAATTTAAATAATTTTCGATTAAAACTTCTTGTTCTTACGCATATTCAATT